CCTGCCGGGCTGGGATGACAGCGCTGTTGCTTCGGGGCCAGGCTCTGCCCCGGCTGCCAGCGGCGTCACGGCCTAGGGCGGCCACGGACACGATGGTCGGCGGGAGACAGGGCCCAGGGCCGCCAAGGGCCACCGTCCGCCAGGCTTGCGACGGAGCCCCGGGCCTGGCTCCTCCTGGGGGGGGGAGGGCGCAGCCCCCCAGCGCCATCGGCTCCTCCCACCTCGAGGCGCTCTGAGCTCGCCAGTCGGAGTGGAGGCCGGGGAGGGGCGGCAAGGAGTGGCAAGCGAGGGGTCAGGAGGGGTCAGCGCCGGGTTCTTGGGGACTGAGTCAGCTGTGCGGACTCAGCCTGTGTGCTGTGGGCAGAGGCGGCGTCCGGGAGAGGGGCTGCCTGGGAGGCGCGGCTGCCCGTCCTCTCTGCAGCGCTCACCCGGCCATCAGGGGCCCCCGGCGACTGTCTGTGCCTGGCCTGACCCCGAGGGGTGCACCACTGGGCACTGTGTCCGCGCCCGTGTGGTCGGTGGCTGGCTGGCAGTTTTAAAAAAGGTCAAGGCCCCCCGCCCCCGCCCCACCTTCAGGCGGGGCGTCGTGAGGAAAGAGGAGGTGCAGGCGCAGACGTGGGGCTGGGCCGCTGCGGGTGGGGGAGCCGAGGCGGGGCGGCGGTTCTGTCTCGCCCGGGCGCTGGGGTGCGCCTGTCCCTGGCGTGGGCGTTCACTGTCGCGCTTTCTTTTTGAAGGTGCTAGTGCTCGGAAACAAGAGGGACCTGCCGAACGCCTTGGATGAGAAACAGCTCATCGAAAAGATGTACGTCCGCAGCCGGGCCGCGGCGGCACTGTCCCGCTTCCCAGTGCCGCTGGCCCAGGCCTTGCCTGGCCCCGGCCGCTGGCAGCGCCGAGTGTGGCTTGGCTCCCAGACAGACTCGGCCCGCGGGAGGAGCGGGCCTGGAGGAGCAGCTCGCAGCTCGCCTCTTCGAAAGTGCAGGGAGGGACGGACTGACTGTCACCTCTGCTTCTTGCAGGAACCTGTCTGCTATTCAGGATAGAGAAATCTGCTGCTATTCGATTTCTTGCAAAGAAAAGGATAACATAGGTAAGAGCCCCCCGCCGGCAGCGCGGCCGTGCGCGGGCGGGGCCCGGGGC